TACAAAGCCATCAACTGAAAGGACATAAAATACATTCAATACTGAACAGAGAAGCAAGAGAGCTGTGAATAAAAAGACAACATGTTTCAGTTGATACAACATGACACAAAAAGTATTGTACATTTCAGAACTCAAAAGCCACTACCAGTTGCAGGCTTGAACTTGACAGTAAGTTCCTACGAGAGGGCTAGAGTTACCCAACATCCAGGTTCTCCACAGTTCGTCTTGGTACAGCCTTAAGTTCAGTTGTCAGACTTACTCACTTTTGTGACCTAAGAGTTCACAAGACAGGTCTTCTCAATCTGGTAATTCATGAGGATGAATCACTTATTGACATCTGTAAAGCCTTCAGTCCTACTGAAGGCACTCAAGACCCCTAGAACGGCACGAGTGGCATACAGTACCAGACACTGAACCAAGAGTACCACCCACTATTAAGGTGTGCTGTCATTGAAGAAAATTTAAGGAGCTATCCTTGGCAAATATTAACCTGTCACTTTAACATCCTTGCAAAGCTTAGTTAGTAGGCACTAGCAATACCGCAACTCACTTGAGCAAGAGAACAGAGAACTTTGCAAAAACATGAGGTGTTTGTTTCTTAAACAGTCATTGTAACAAACATAAAACAAAACATTTTAATGGGCAATAGTTAATCATCTATAAAAAGTATATGTTCAGCATGAATTTAAATTGTAAACCGGTAATAAATAATACAGTATCTCTGAGCGCATGTTAAAATATACATGATGAAATAAAATTTAATTTTCAGAAAAGCTTTCAATTTTTTTTGTTCAAAAACACATTTAACCAATCCTTTATAAACAACTGCAGCCAGTTTGCCTGCCTGAAAGGTTTTACTTATGAAGTGCTCCTGCCTAATGCAGAACACTTACTTGCATTAACTTTCCTTCCCTTGTTTTTCTAAGGCAGATTAAGTAAAAGCTGAATTCACAAAAACCGTTAATGTAGCAAATACCTTAAATTATAATTTATTGTAATGCTTGTAATTTGTTTTCATTCTAGTTTATTTAGTAATCATATAAATATCCAAATATCCACTACAGTAAGCTACTGTGAAGACTGCAAGTACCACAGTTAGAGCAGTAGCTAGACTTAGATTTAAAATGCACGTATTTCTTTCTGGATAAGAAAAGGTAGGTTCCCTCTTGCCACAAAAAAGGTCTCCATGCACCTCCCTGTTAACTAGTCATTGCAGTCTGTCCATTAACATGAACCTGGCTAAATGTTGTGTTCAATGGGAGTTAGAAGCAGCACACTGCACCATTCTTCCAAGGCTGTTAATTTTGAACTATACTATCGAGAGCAGTGTGGCATAGCTATCTTGGCATACCAGTATTTCAGAAAAATACAGGCCTACAGATAGTAGTAATAAGATAGCTGAGTGGAGCAGAAAAGCCCTTTCTGTAACACACACTTTGTGCACAGAGATCCTCCCAGCTGATCTCGAGCTCCCTAAGCAGGAGGTATGAGAGCATGTTGAGCTTCCTCTTTTCTCACATCCTGCGTAGTGAGAGGTGAGAGAAATGACGTCTATCAACTACTGTTCACAATGGCCTCAGTGACCCTCTTGGCAACTAATGTGGCAGATGCAATTCCTTTGTACTGCCCATGCCCTGAGGCCAGGATCTGGCCTCTAGACATTCTGGGCAGAGCTGTGAAACAAGGTGACTCACCCAGTCTGTCCCAGAACAGCCTTTCCCAGTAGGAACAGTGGGTGAGTGTTGGGGGGAACCTCAAGAAAACCAACCGCTTTCAGCTGGAGTTTATAAAAAGGACAGTAGGTTTATGTTACTACCAATAGTAGGAAATGTCACCTAATGAATACAAATCTCCTTCCAAATGCCTATTCCTATGCATTGTCATTGAAAAAGTTTCATTAGGTCATACTCTATATTAATCTGTCCCAGAAGCATATATAGCCCAAGTAAGAAAACACCTTTATACGAACAATTTGTTAAAGACTACATCAAAACATTAAAGATGCTGATGTTTGAAAACATTCCTAATCTTTCATAAACAGGAGGATTTCAATGCTTTAGAAAACTAGGAATATTGCAGAGAGGAAATCAAAAAGACAGGTGTCAAAAAGAAGTTGGAAGGAGAGCACCATATGAAAATCATACGTAACTTTTTCTGTCCATTTAACAAGCTAATTAAATGTTTCACAATGTTATACTGAAGTTTAAGTAAACTACCTAGGATAAAATCCTGGCCCACCTGAAGTCAATGGTAAGAGGATTTTACCTGCAATTCTCACTATCTTTGAGAAGATATTAAAACAAAAGGTATATGTTGAGGCTTCAGTGAAAGGCTTCAATTGAAAAAGAAGAGGAAGAAAAGAACATGTTGCTTGGTATTTTTTTAAAGTACATGCCATGTAAACTAATCTACATGGCAATCTCCCTGGTCTATGAAACATTGAATGCAATACTGTAAGTAATTTTTAGCTTTATTTTTATTCATTTATCATTTAGCAAGACTCTTCAGTAACTGTAAATGACTAAAACTGTAAATGACTAAAATGTAAAATTGTATCATTACCTTGTACACTGTTGCTTTATGAAAGTACAAACCCAAGATTTTAGCAAACAGTGCTGGTTTTCATGTCACATGTACAAAAGGATACAAAAATAGCTCCTTGATTGACATAAGATAATATCCTTAGACCACAATGAAAACAAATATAATACAGTACTACAGTGCAGGTATTCCTTTTATTACAGGAATAGTATCTGAGGGATAGACTAATCCAATCAAGGACTTCAAAATCACATCCTTAAAGTATCCAATGAATTTTCAATGAATGGATAGCTATGGTCTTCAGTGAGCTGCCCTGACAGTAAAAAAGGAGACACAGAACTTAATCTAATCTTAGTTACTCGTATTTCATCACACTCTTTTGCTTGCTAACTGGGAAGTATTTTTAAAAACTGCCATGATGTTCCTCATGGATCAAAAAGCAAGTGAAGTTTATGAAACAGTACTCTAAGATCTTTGGACAAATACAACTACTAGTCTGAACATGTGTAACAACTATTTTCTGATTCAGTGTTGTAAATGTAGTTTATATTTTAAACCTTTAATAATTTTAGCTGCATATAAAACAGAGAAGTAATAAGTTAAATTACAGCACCTTGCATGAAATTTGTTCTAAAAAATATAAAGATTACACCTTTTGAAATTGTAAGGAATACAACTATTCTATCTCAAGTCCAACATGTACCTGTCATTTAAAAGGAAGCTAATTAACATGTAATGAAGACATGTATAAATATCATAAATTTAAGGCACAAAATGGATGCTTTTTCATCAAATTACCTGAGATACCAGAAAAAGGTGTATCTACAATTTTCAAAAGAGCTTTATTATCATAGAATCATTGAACTAAAAATGGAAAGTGCCTATTCAAGCATGTAGTTCAAACTCTTGCCAAAGGAAGATTATTTTCCACTATTGCATTACATCTAACTTAAAACCTTCCAAGAAATTGTATGCATTGATAAGCACTCCTGTGTCATTCCATAACCTAACTGATCTCATTGGTAGGATCTTTCTCCTGATATTCATTGGGTACATACCTTGTTTCAAATTTATATAATCAGTTCTAGTTACACCTTCATACTTAGAAAGCCTCTTCCTTTACATGTATTTGTCATATAACAAAAAATTATACATATTTAACAACTCAATCTCTCTGACTTCTTTCTCACTTCAACTGATTTTGTTACTGTTCTCTGGCTTTTCAGAAGATTGACTCAATTTCTCACTCAGGAGGTATCCAAAATATAAGACTGTACTCCAGAAATTACCTCAGCAATCACAAGGACTCTTCTGATTTCCAGCTGCCTGATGCAGCTCTTCTGCATACATACTCTTCTTTTGACATTAGTGATGCCAGAAGCAACTTTGTTGCTTACATTATCAAGGCTTCTTACTACATTATTACATTTCAATCTTCTCTCTCTCTCACTAAGTACCCAAGTTTCCTCAAATGCGTTACCTTTTCTCTGAACCTCTTGGGCTGCATCTAATTTGTTGGATCTCTCCCACTCAGGTATCATATAGTGTAATATCATCTGTAACTTTTATTAATATACTGTAGATCCCTCTTGCAGATTATTGAAGACATTAAATAGAATTAGGTCAACACCATATAAACAATTAATGGGGAGGGAGCAATTAAAATTGCACAATGGGATGATTCAAAGCACAATCTGTATTTTAAGACGCTATTTCAAATATATTTTATCCCACTTAGCTATTTATAAGAAGTTAAATATCTCACTGTAGCCACATTTTCTAAATGCAATACCATAATTTGTCTGCATACGTAACTAAACATAGAACAGGAAACATGCTGACAATCAGTCTTCCTCTGCAAATGAGTCCCATTCCAGCCACTGCTCAGAGAAAGATAGGCACATCAAGTCTACTCCTCAGCACAAACTTTTAACTGGTTAATATTACATCTATTATTCTACATATCTTTAAAATTACAAATGAAAATACAGAGAGATCTAAATTTCCACTGACAATCAAGAATTCAGCTCCTTTCAAAAGTTATTCTGGAATTCTACAGTGTGATCCTGTAACTCAAAAAATGTTGAACAACATGCTAACAGTACTTATAACTGGAACGGTATTATTTAATATAAAGCTTAAATAACATTTAAGCCACCTAGTCTATCAAAAACATCATTACCTAATTTATGCTCTGTTTTCCAGAAGACTCACTTTCAGTACAACTTATCAGTTCTCCTTCTGTTCTTGATGATGACTTATCGGTCATAACAGAACTTTCAGAATAGAAAGCACAGTAGCCAACTATTCCAATTCTTAAAGCTATTTGTCAACCTATTGAAAATCAGAAAATAATTTGTCTGAAGAGATGAACAATTAGAAATCAAAGTGAAATCAAGAATAAAAATGTAAGTCTGAAGATATATCAACTGTAAAAAGAATACAGTCCATGCTATTTTATGCACAGTTGTTTATTCTTGTTCCATGTTTTAAAACTTGGACTCAGAAAAATCACAGGAAGTTTTGGGTTTTTTACCCTCTTTTTTTCCATTAAAAGCACCATAGTTACACTGCTTGATTCAATCGTCCTTTTCCACTATCACTTCTCCATGAAGCACCCTTCTTCTCTGCCGCAGCATGTGGAAGTAGAGTTGTGGAAATACTTGATCAAAGCATAAAAGAAAGCAAATTAGATGAAAAAATTCAACAGATCACATAACAGAAAAATACAGTTTTGCAGAATGATGAACTGAGGAAAAATTATGGCAAACAGTGCTGCAGTTGGTTAAGGTAAGTAATAGCAAGTCATGAACATTGCAGTGAATTACAAAACAATAATTGCTTAGAAGTCAGACAAGGCCCCCTGAATGTATATGCTGTGTTCAAGGAACTTCCCTCCAACATTTTCTTTGTATAAACAGGCCTTAACCACTTTCCAGCAGTGCCCGAAGTCTTCAAATCTGTGCTAAAATAAGCATGTTTGAATTAAGACTTTGAGGAGGATACAAATTTACCCTACTTGTTCAAGTCTGAAGTGAGGAGCTCCCTCTCTCCTGGCCCTCTGTAATCTATTAGATTACTGTCCTGCTGATAGATTTGATCCTTATATTTAATGGATAGACAATCAGATTTATTCCTGAAGCATTAAGTTATATAAACAATTGTAAAACTGTTAGTAAATTACAATAGCTTAGGACATTTTTTACTCATATAAATCTCTCTTGTTAGCCTTCATGATTTCTTGTGACAAAAGCTTTCACAGTGTGTGGGCATACTGTGGAAGTCCATGTTTAAGGTCAACTTCTTAAACAAATACTTTTTATGGATGCAGATCACAGACCCTTTTAACTTCAGTTTTCTTCCTTCTCAATGCCTCTCCCTAATCTCTTGCCTTCTTTCTAGCCTCATTGTCCTGATTATCTAAAATATTCTATTTGCCTTGTTTGGTCTAGCCCCATTCATGGTGCTGTATCTGAAGCAAGTTGCTTTCTCCTTGCCTACACTGCTTAGGTACCAGTGGAAATAACACTAAGTGAAAGACAGACAGCCTCTCTAATCTTAGCTCTGGTTAGCCAATTGATCTGTGGCTTCTGGTATCCAGAAGTACAAGGACGATCTGATTAAACCAGGGACTGAAGGATGTTCAGATAGGTTTGGGGCATAGATTTCTGTGAAAATGAAATCTTGGAGAATATTGCTCCAAGTTTTTCCAAAGCATGCTCAAATGGTGATTTTCAGAGGTGACACGTAAATGGACATTAATAGCAATAAAAACAAGGCAAATCTCTGGCACAACTTGCAGGACAAATTTTAAGCCATTGCTTCAAAGTGGCAGAGGCACTAGAAATTCTCAGCGACACAGTTACAGACATTTCTGCGTGTAAGCAAAAAGGTTTCTTACTCTGTTCAATTCTTAGAAATGTTTTTAGCATTTTCACTGAAATTTTTAACACAGCTTATGTTCTGAGGCAGAAAACAGGACAGAAAATTACAGTCTAACCAATTAAATCAGAGCAAAGTTTGGAATAACAGAAAACAGGCTTTTATAGTAGAAAGTGTTCAGCGAATTTAACTACAGGCAGTGTTTCCAGCATTGCTGATAATTACTATGTTGTTAGCATTACTACAGTTAAGTAATACTTACACGGCACATAGGAGAACATGACAATAATAAGGAAGTAATAGTAGTCAAAGGAGACATTATATTTGTTGGGAAGTCTCAGTGAAAACATTCCTGTTTTCTTCACGTAGGGTAAAGCAGCATATATGGTTAGCAATTCACCTGCAACTCCAGCAGGATACAAAATGATAAAAAAGTTGTATCTGTATTAAAAAAAAAAAGCTCTTGTGAGAAACACCTCATGAATTTAAAATTTCCTTTTGCTATTATTAGTGACACAGCAATGTATTACAGTAGTTCCTGCACCAAAATCAAGGACCACATCCTGACTTGGCTCAGAATACCAGTTTCAGTTACTTTGGATAGCATTGCTTAGGTTTACAGAGAATGCATTCCTCAGTTCTTTTATTTAAAAACAGTGAAGTATCAGAATGTTTGTATGTCTTTCTAATACTAAACAGTAAGAAATCCACAAATTTGTAGTCTCCAATAACTACTTTTTTAAATTTACTGATCTTGCTCCTGTTGTCCCTGACAGGATTCAGACCAGGACTGGACCCCAAATTCAGATGATCCTACACATCTTTGTTGCAGTGCCCGCACACTGGGTATTTAACTCTATGGATTATAATTTTTTAGGAAGATAATGGAAACGTTGAGAAACATCAGAAGCCTGTTTTATCCACTGCCACATAAGAAATCCAAATAATACTACGTTTACCACTAACGGAAATGGAAATTAAAAATTAAAGAAAATTAGACTGCCAGAAACTTACAAGATCCATTTTAAAATGGGAAGAAAATGTTCAAATAAAAGGTGAAGGCATTCAGTTTAAAGAAAATGTGGTTTGAATGCCATAGGCCCCAAAGATGGTGACAAAATGAAAACCATAATCAATAGGGTTTGTGCTGTCCTTAGGCACAGTACACCACGGAGACGCAGTTTCTCCTAAGGAACAGCTCTCAAGTTCATGCAGGGAACAGCAATGAGAGCTGTTGGACAGAGAGAAAGGTACAGCGTGCACTCCGTGAGCAGGAGAGATTAGATCCAAACCAGCAGCAACCAGACATGAAACCCTCCTAGGAGCAAATGGGCTTAGAGTCGTCACACGTCAAAGAACAGATTAGGGAAGGTATAAGAAGGAGCTGATGCCATGATCTACACACAGTTTGTCTCTATGCAGTGAAAAAAATACCAAAGTAAAAATTCTGAACTAAAATTTAGAGCACACCTATTCCATTAACAATGGATAGACAATTATAAGCTAAAGATCAGAAATTTCCAGCTCCCTTGGAGTAATGAATTTACGTCCAGTTGTGCTGTTTGATTACCCATTAATCTTGATGGGATATTTTGGACTCTGTGAAAAGACAATACATTTTCAAATGTTTTGTTTATAATACATTTCACGATATATCTCTGCTGTGAGAATGTCAGTTTTCCCTATTGTCTATTGCAAGGAAACAAAAATTCCGTCATTCAAGACACGCTGACTTGGTGGCAAAAAGTGTATCTGTCAATGTAGTACTTTCTGAATGCATTTCTCTTTCTGAAGCCTACATAAAAAATTATTAATGAAACCAGACCTGATTATTTTTAAGTTTGCCATTTAGCACTTAAACATAACCAAGCCTACCACCTTAAGTATTAGCAAAAAAGAGAGTGTATTATAAGAATGGACTATATATTAGACGTATCAAAGAAGTGCATTAGAAGCCTCAGAACTGCATTATCTATAAAGGAAAATAAACAAACACACTCTTTTAAATAAGTCACCTGAATGTAGGTTAGATATTTTCCTTCTAACAGTGTAAGTCTGTCTGTCTTACATGTATGTTTCAAATAATGACTACAGAGAATACTACTCTTCCACTTGAGTCTCCTGATAAACATGCAGTCTCTGTAATGTATGTTGATCTAGTGGCCAACCTTAAGTATGCTCCAAAATCAAAACAGTTTTGATATGGAACACGCTTTTTGTGTGGGCTAAACTCAATATTTAGCTTCACTACACAGATATAACCTTAGAAAAGCTCTGATAAAGCAGAACTTCTCATGAAGTAATAATATGCATACAGATTGAGTGACAACTCCCATGTTTTCAAAGACCTGAAATCCACAAAGACTAGTACAAGTGCTTAATTTTGGGCATTGTATTCATAAGCATCTTAAGGAGTCATTCTCTAAGTTAAAAGATGACTCCAAAGACAAAGAAAAAAATTAAAGTAAATGAAAGCAGAGTTCAAAGCGTGAGACACAGAAAGCAAAGAACAAATCACACCCCAAAATCTCAGCTAAAATATTTTTAACATTTTAAACCAAGTAACAACGATCCCAACTACAGAAAGCAACTGACTTGCACTCTGCTGACACATAACCAAAGCTCAAACATCTGCTCTCCTGTGTGTTAGCTCAGCATGCGTGAAACTAACATGCACAGAACCATGAGAAACTGAAGTGCAAGACATCTCCACCTGGCCCATTTAATGAAGTATGGCAAATGGTTGAGCAGGTTGAATGTGTAGAAGGAATATCGAGTAATCTCTGTCACAGTCCATACGACCAGAAAAAGAATAACGCTCTCCTCATTCTGGATCTGCAGAAGTATAAAGAACCAACACTTTCTTCATCCTTAAGCTTATTTTCTGTGCAAACTGCAACAGACTTCTGTTTAACATATATGGAACAGAACTAACATCTTGTAAAGAAAGAAAATTTTGGCATAAAGTGATATGCTGAAACCATTTCCATGTACAGTTCTTTATCATATGCATTTACTAACACAGACATTTTGCACACTAAGCAATCTTTATCCATTACGCAAATATCAAAATATAAACCCTATAATTAACCTTATTCCTCCTCTTTGTTCTCTATCTGCATTTTCACTGTGCTATCTAACTGTCTCCCTCTTTTTATTTGTGGTTGATTTACTGGTTTATTTTCTTACTCCTCAAAAGATCAAGAAGAAAACAATGCTACAGAAGATACGTTCCTTTCACAATCAGTTTTTACCTATTCTGCATGTCACTACTCTGTCTCCTAGACTCTCTTGTACCTTCTATCTTGCTTCTTCCTCACCGTATAATCACATCTCCATGAAACTTTAGACAAAAGGAATTGCTTTGCATAATTTACTAACTGGAAATTGATTGCAGAAGATCAAATTTGGCAGACTTCAGGGAGCTGTAAGGTAGTTAAGGAGTTGGAGGACAGACGGATCACTAAATGAAGAGTAGTTGGGAGATCTGGAGCTTTGGGTAAACTAACTCAACAGTCCCGTTTACGATTTAAGTTCTGAGTCATTAAACTGCCTCATCGGTAGATAGCACATCTCTCTGCTGTTTCAAAACATTGGTTCTTTTTCACTTTAAGTGAGCAAATAAACAAAAGTCCCCAAATACAAAGAAGGCACATGGGAATCTATTACAAACACTACCTTCTGAAAAGAAGAATTACATGCAAGTAATTTTGTTTTCTTTAAAAGGGGAGGAATTTTGTAATACACTTCCATGCCTGAAGGCTGAAAAGCTCCAGGGATGTCTGCGAAAGAAAATAAAGTAACACAAGTTTTGTTAAAATTACAAAAAAGGGAAATTATTTTTTAAAATAAAATGCAACACGGTGACAAAGCTTAACACATTTCAAAGATGCTGAAAATCCACAACTCTTTCAAAAGTCAAGAAGAATTATAAGTGCTCATGACCTCATAAAATCGCACCCTCAGTGTGTCAAAGAAGGTGCACTTTTAGTGAAAGAATCTCACCAAAATCACAAAAGAGAAGGAGATATAAAAATACCGCTAAACTCACAAACAAATAGCAACAACTGAAGTGCAAAGACATCTAAACAAATAAGCAAATGTAAAGACAGAATTAGGCTGTTCTTAGCCTCATGCGATTAAAGACAAACATTGATAACCCAAACTTGGATTCATGTCACAGTGCTAAATCCAAGTAGAAGAGCTTTAAATAAGTATGACAAGAATTCCTATCTGTTGCCTTGCAAATCTCCAGTCAAGTAGAGAGATCTGGGTCTGGCTGTTATCACTAACGTGCTTCTCACCACCTAAAGTGACCCTCAACATTCAGGCCTGCTAAGCAATAACAGCACGAAATACAATCAGACATACATTTAGACGCATTTTTTCTTGGACACAGCTTGACCTACTGTACTGAAGACAGAGGAAACAAAAGAAATGACCGGATACACTAAAGATTTAATCCACTGCAGATAGTAACAAAATGCAAAAGTGCAGTGCTATATTCCAGCATTCATGCAAACATTCAATATAAAAAACTTGTTAATCTTCGAGACATTTTCCCTTAAGGAGAAAATGAAAACACTTAGCTTAGCAAAACAAATAGACAAAAAAGCTATGAAAAGCCTATTCCATTTTAAGAAAAGCAACAGTAAAGGAAAAGATGAAGTGTAGAAAACGAGTCCTCTGTGAACTGAAACAGGCAGGTGCTATGATAGCCCATCAGCAGAAGGGCATATGCCATCTGCTGGTGAGACAGTTTAATGGCTCAGCTTTCTAAGTTTAAAGAAATGCAAGAGCACAGACTCAATATCCATCATTTAATTCTTACATGCCCTTCACAGAAAGCAGACCTCAGAAACTGAACTGGATGTCCTATCTACCAGTGGTAAGCAGTCTGCTTGTTTCATTCTGCTAACGAATCACGAGACTTACCATAATCACCTACAGCCAGGCAAATAAACTATGATCATTTATACAGGACCTTAAGTGTCACAGTGGCATGCTGGATACTTGATATATTTTTAATGAAAAAAATGCAGTATGCATGCCATCAAATGTTAAAATTACCATAACATTAAAATCTTGAGAAGGTTCCTAAAATAAACTGCAAAATCACAACCATGTTTATCCAGGTAAATTCCATTTAAGACATATTTTCATTTAGATTAATTCAGTAAGTGCTAATTTAAGTTTCTGAAAGGGAACCAGTAACATTGTGGTAGATTTGCTGGTAAATAATAACAGTAGTCATTGATTTCATTCAGGCAGACCACAGCCGGCACGATGCCGAAGACAGTGCTGATTCACAGCTAAGACCCAGACTATCTTCTGGGTAGAAGCACATAAATTCCATCCTGTAATCCCAACTTGCAAAATTGCACTCAGGTATGTAAGTGTTCCCTGTAGGAATGTCATTAATTTTTAAATTGGTCTTCCTTGTGAAAGAGAACTGTATTAATAGGTTCTCCTTAAAAACAACCAAAACACGACTTGCTCACACACATACCTGTTTTATACTATGTGCAATGAACCACACCATGAAGATTCTTGAACTCACTTGGACCCCAGTCACAAGCACAGATGTGCGAACTATTCCTTAAAAAGAGAAACATGTTATCTCTGTTCCACAATGAATTTTTTAATTAGTTACAGGAGAAACTAAAACAAAGAACTCACCAACTGCACAGTGGACTACCTGTAAATAAAAACAAGTTAGAGGTTACTGATGAACAGTATGTTACTATCTACACTATAAACATGGCCTTTTGATATTAATATAAACCTAGGCTTAATTCTGAAGGAGAATTGGTTTTTTATCTCCAACTATCAGTCTTTAAAAGAAATACACATCAGAGCCCTGACAACCAATGCTGTGTTGGGCTCAGCATCTGATCTATGCAAACACATGAAAGGGATTTATTTTCCTAATTAATCGTATATATTACAGATTTAGATACTTACAAAGCATTTATTTTTTTCAACTAGTAGGCTTCTCTTCCATTATCTTCTTCAAAGAATTTTACAGGACAATGTGGAGGGAGTCAGATAAGAGATGCTAAACACAGCAATTTTAAAATGTTCTGTATTCATTACAGATTAATAACATTATTATAATTTTGCCAATGACGGCTATGAAGCTTCAGATTTATTGTATTTTCTGGTCAGTAATGTTTAGCAAATACAGTGCTTTTCATTATTTTGACAGATTTGAGAAGAATTACTTATTGTAAAATTTTAATAGCATAAAAGCCTATATACAGGTGGCCACATGACTTTAATCGCTGCTTGAACTACAGAACCTGCAGGCAGATTGAGAAAAAGTTAAAATGTAAATAGGCACTCACTGTTGTGCCTGGGAAAGAACTGTAAGTGCTCAATATACCCAACAGTTTCATTCCATAGATGTACCATAAACTGCGATCTCTAGTGCACCATTGGCAAAAGTTGTATTTAGAGAATATTTTGCACAACTTGCACAGACTCTATTATAATGGATTATATGGGGCATGTGAATCCAGTCTGGAAGTAAGCAGGAGCAAGAAAGGCACAGAAGGATAATGAGTCCAGTATAAGGAACAGTAAGACAGAAGCTATCATCTCTGGAGGAGGAGACGAGATATCTACTACGCTAGTGGGTTGATCTGCTGGCTGGAATGCCTTCAGAGATTTTGCCTTTTGAGTTAAAGACTCTCAAATCAAAGCAGTTCCCAGGCAATACTTGATTTAAAGAAAGATTAGATTTAGGTTTGAAAAAATGTGCCCATTTGTTTCAACTAATCATCTCGCCCCCCAAAAAAACTTCATTAAATAATAAAGTTAAAAGGACTTTAAGTACTAATATAATATTTTAGGTTAATAATGTGTTTTGCCTATGGTATGAAGCATCTAGTAAAGCAAACTAATGTTTAAAATTTACCTCAAGCAAAGCAAATGTCTGGAAAAATTTAAGCGTCTTTTGAACGCTTCTGAATAAGCCTCTATGTGTTCCTTTCTGTATATAAAACCGCACCATGGCAATACCTAATACCAGCCACCTACAAAAGAAAGAGAATGGATACATTTCAAATTAGAAATCTAAAAATATCCATCCACTGTAAATAATTTAGTAAGTATTTTCTTCACAGAATATCTTTGCTTCTTCATTTGTCAGTGTTCTTAGGAGATCATTAAAAATATCTTTAGACATAAATATTATATAATGTTATGTAAACATTAGACTCTTTTATCTCTTTACTTGGAAAAGGATAGAGAATGACTTGTTTACCTTCACAGAATTGACCTGAATTGAGGGGACCCCCCAAAACCATGGGTCCCTCTGACTTTTCACTAGCAGTGACTACATATTTTTAGTACTAAATCCTCATGCATCTTTACTGTGAATTTCTGTTATTTGAAAACATGGGATGAACTGAGCACCAAAGACACCATTTTGGGTTGCAGGTTTGTATAAGTAAAGGACCTGAACCTATGCACATAATTTTTACATTTTTCATGGCCCCCAACTCATAATTTTCAGAACTGACTAGTGATCTGAATGCTTCTGTTTGTGATTGTCCAACTGAAGTTACCATCACAATTCAGTTTTCAAAATCGTTGAGAAGCGATCTTTGAAAATCAGACTCCAAAGTGCTGAAAGACGGGTGCTCTATGCTCCTGGCTTCCAGAGGCAGGTATATTTAATTGGCACATTTGATGGTGTTAGCTCATCTTTTTATATTTTTTTAAAGAAACTGAACAATGATACCAACTGATAATCCTTCCAATGTAAAAGAAAGAAAGTAAAAGTATCTTTTAATCAAAGTAAAATTTGATATAAAACTTAAATTGAGATCTTAAATGGAAATTGAGACTAAAAAAAATAAATCCTAAACTGTAGTGAGTTGATTCCCACCACCTAGCCCAGACCCAGTACAACAACCCAAGGCATGCGCAATCCCTTCTGCATAATTAATCCATGTTTATATAATTAAGATTTTCAAAATAGTGTACTATACGTTCCATCCTTAATGCAGAGCTATACCACATTCTCACAAACATCATGCTAGTGAGATGCATTGACACTTCAGGTTTCAATCCACAAAGACTAAGTACAAAAATTCTTTAATACAGATTTATAGGCATAACCAGAGCTATGGATGGCTATTTTGAAAGTTAAAAATAAAAATAAAAAAATTACAATAACTGTAGCTTAACTTCTTGTCTGATATCGGGAACAATTACTCAGTCCTGTCTTTCTACATAAAGCCATAGCAAGCATGCTGTACAGCGACATGAACTCTGGCTAAGGAAAGGCCCAAATGACAAAGCAGAAGGGTCTGAGAAATACTCAGAGGCAGATTCAGAAAGCATATAAACATTCAGAGAAATATTCATATGAACATCTGGATAAATATTTAACACAACTCCTGTTCTTATACTCTTCCCTAAACATAAGGTATTGGCTAACATTGGAAACAGGGTACCAGGAAATACTGATCTTTGGTCAGACCTGTTATGCTGTAACGGCCTGAGAGTCACACAGATCGTGACAGCTCTCTGTTCGCCTCGGATGGCACGTACTGTAATATCGGTCCCTTAACAACTCTTACACACAGTAGCTACTGCTACACAGTCACTTGGCATGGCCCATTCCAGCACGTCATGACGGCATTTCAAACTCATAAAGAGTCAGTCAGGCTTCCCCACACTGTAGGAATGATTCCTCTCCTTGACCCTTTCTACTTTAAGCCTATGAATCTGATGTGCCAGGGCTCCAAAATTTGCCCCACAGAAATGTTACTTAGATTTTATAATGGATTTTAAATCCGAGTGCCTCAATTTGAGGCTGTCTCCCACCACTGTGGAAACCAGTAATTACTGGAATATTGCTGGTAGTCCTTCACAGTAAAGCTGCCACGTTTTATAGAGTTAAATGTTTGACAAGAGGAAGGTGACAGTAAGTTTACATCCAGCTGGCAGCACAAACGGTGACAGCAACAGCTCTATCCTAGCCCTAGACTAAGAAGTCGTAATACATCTAATAAGTCTTCTTCTGCACTTCATTCTTTAACAAAAGGGTTGCAAAGAGAAGTAATCCCAGACTACACTCAGAAGGAAAGACTGCAAGCATGTTTTTCTTAAATAAACTTTTATTTGGACATGAATTTCTGTAGATCGATTTATTTAGTTGTCACTGGCTTTGACTTTGGATTTCAGGAAAGCCCTTGTACTGAGTATTGCAAATCACCAGGAAATGGAAAACACTTTCCGTAATAAAGGCAGCAAGACTTTCAGTAAGACTGGGTACTGATCTGTCATTTTAGTCCCTTAAACCTTTGGTAGAAAGAAAGGTAAGCTAAAATTTTTTATTAGAATGGTTGTTAACATGCAATTCCATATTAGTTTGTTAAAATTCTAGAAACACTTTGCTATATTGCACTGTCTGGACAAACAGACCAATATACTGTCCTAGTTACTGATTTATCCTATGTAATGCCCCTGTTAAGTATTGCTCTATTTCAGATGTTTATTCTTCTCTTAAATTGTACCTGTAAAAGATTGTAAGAATTTGTTCCTATCTCTTATTTCTTTGTTTCCACATAAAATATGCAATTTTGCCTATCTTAGTCCCTTTTGATATTAACAGAAGATGGGAGAGAAGGAAGTGGGAGATACCAAATCAGCACCTAAGGTCAAAACTAATATGGTTCGATAATCTTCTACAGTCATATAAAAGTCAGTGGTAAGAGTCAGTGTTCATTAGCAAATTCACACATGGAGCATGAGGCTGGGAATTCAATGAGGTAACATTAACCTGCCAGCCAGAAAAAAATTACACTGAGTAAAAGCACTTTTCAAAAGGTGCTGCTGCAGTATACGAACAGACTTGAATACGTGTTCAAGATTCACAGATGCTAGTGAAAAGAAAGCCATTACAATCATATTCCTGGCTTTCTGCATTAGTGCTTGAACTTCTGCTTCAACTACAGCATATCAGTTTTGCTCCACCGGATTCAAAGGGCAGAGAGTTCACCCACTGGTAACTAAAGTAAAATTGTTCTCATGATGAATGTCAGTCGAGAAGTTATAAAACTCTTCGTTCTTAGTTTTCTTTTAAGGATGGGGAAAGTAATAGGGTTTAGGTTGTTTTTTTTTCCCAAGAGTTAGTGAACAGGACAAATTTTCAAGAAGTGAAAATACGTGCTTCAAGCACGAGCAACATAAACCTGAGTGCTCTTATGATCTGTTATTCAAAATAAATACCCACTTTCCTCAAAGCAAAGCATCGCAGCATGAAGCACTAGCTCAAACCAGCCCCTTGGGTTATTACAGCTCTGTCCCCCTCCACCCGCCCCCTGCTTATCAGTAAATGCCAGCGGGCTCCGAGGACCACGCTCTGCTTTGGAAATTTCTACCTCGCAAGGAGCCGGTGCGAGCTCTGCTCGCTTAGATCCAGGGCTCACGGACCTGAA